CACTGCCAGGAGAAGTAAGCATTGTCTGTGACTCCACTGGGAGAGAGCAAGTGGAAGCTGGCACTTAGATTTTTCCATTGGCTGAGTCCTTCCATCTTATGGAGATTCCACTTTATTATTATTTTTAATGCTCTTAGATTGTTATAATCTTTTGGCAACTGTCCAGAGTTCTGAAAAAGTTAATTTAAACAATTTTACAAGTGTTCTCGTCGCTTATACGGCATATCAGGTTTTCTGATATCCTCACTCCACAGTTTCAGAAGTGTTTATGGAGCTACCTCCTTTGAAAAAAAAATCACATCAAATAAAATAGACTTTCAGACTCAGGGCTGTAAGTGTAACCTTATGGTCATTTATTTTTCCTCCTTCTTTAGTATACTATTGTATTAACATGTCAATTGTCATCATCACTGTGGTAGAGACAATTCTTCCTCCTTGTCCCACACTCACAAAACCTGGACATTTAACACCTGAGAAAATTTTGGGTGCAACCAAAGTGTTTAAAACTTTTCCTCCCGTTATGTATAAATTTTCACTATTTCTTGCTCTATTTATCTAGAGTGCACTTTCTTGCATGTTGATAGAACACCAAAAATTCTTAAGTCGGAAGTAAATTTACTTTCTTAGGGTGGTCATTAAAAGAAACCTCGTGAGACAGGAGTGAGGTATATATCTGAGTTCCAGTGTTTGAATCTGGAAACATGTCTTTGGGTCCCTGCTGTAGCGACAGTGGAGAGACCAGCAGGGGGTGACATGATCATTACTAGAGATCTGTGCACTCTACAGGAGCCTGACCCAGCAACCTGGTGCCCAGGGATCAGAATGCTTCTGGCTTTTTATTTGTAAAATTAAAAAAAAAAAACCCAAAAACTGCCATTTTTGAAGATTGTGGATCAGACGCTCTTTCTTTGAATCAAGTGTCAGCGTTGGAGGCAGAGTAGAGCAAATTTTTTGTCTAACTTCCCCATCCATCTCACTCACTGTGCTTTGCCCCAGTGACACACCAATGCTATGAGATTTGTCAGATTTGTCCTCAGAACGGATGTTGGAGATGGTTGAGTAGTG